AGATCGCACCGCCGCAGCTCACATGCCGCAGCGACTTATGGAGGTACTAGTGGTTTAATTGAAAAAAAAAAGACCTTCCCCCACCATTCCTCATCTCAATTCTATCTCTCCGCTGTACCCCTACTCCCGCAGTCTAAGCTCAATGTCTACCACTGACTCACTGAGGACCATCACCCTTCTATTAGCTTTGGGGGGGAGACCTGACTGGACGACTATTGTAGGCACTGGGGCTAACCAAGACCCCTACTCAGCCCTGAATGAAGCATGGTTGGATGAGCCCTGTCGTACAGAAACTTCGGCCGCTACACGCATGTGTTCTTTCTAGTACAAGCCTCATGGGCCCCCAGCACATGTGGCTAAATGCTACACCCATGAACTGTTCTTTTTTCTTTTTCTTTTCTTTTCTTTTTTAAACGCCCCCAGGTTTGCTAGGTCAGCCTAGGTGTGATGGTATGAGCAAACACCCCTAGCAACGCCTGCGGTTGACTCCGATCTATTGGTGGGGACTCGGAAGCTTCACCTGCTGGAAATTGGGTCCAGCGTCCCTTACAATGAGACAGGATCTGATGGACATTCATAAAGTTTGTGAGAGGACTGCCAGCATTGATGACCCTGGCATATCCCTGAATCCGGCTGGAAAGAATCAGAAGTGTGGCTATTGCCCTCAGATGCACAAATTTGCATTATTTGAGGTTACTCACAGTTAGGGGGCTTGCCTCATGGCAGAATAAACTACAAATTCTCTGCTCTACTCATTTTCTCTCTCTCTGACCCATGACATACATGAACAAGTTTCCCTCACAAATTTCACTCTCGTCCTCCAGTTTCCCTCACAAATTTCACTCATGTCCTCAAGCGGTCAGTTGCCAAATGGTGGTCACAGCACCTGAAAGTCGTGCAGGACCCTTGATAAAATTCGCTATCTGCAGACTGCGAGGAAACAAGTTCACACAAGCTCTCGCCAGGGAATCTTTCTAACACTCACGTCTTCCGAAAGTCATTATTGTCCCGAGGTTTTACGTCGAAGCGGCATCGCTTAATGAAATTTGTAATTTTGTAGTAAATTCATTAAATGAAGGGGTAACTTCAAAGCAGTCACCAAAACAGTTTGTAATTGCACTTCAGGCAATCCCGCGAATACAACACACCGCCACGCGACCCCACCTGACCCGAAGTGTAGGTCATATACATTCAGCATTACCGGCCCTTTTGCCTCAACAAGTGCAATTACAAACTCAAACCCTGACTGCGCCGTAGTTTTTTCTTAAATGAAATTTGTAGTAAATTCATTTGGGAAGGGATGCGGCGAAACCCTTCAAACCCTACATCCTAACCATCACTGAATGCCCAAAACTTTAAGGGTCCACGTTTGTCAGGAACCCCACTGCTGGAGACGACTGGGAGCAATGGGAGGTGGTTGCGAATTCCCTTTGTTTTTTCCTGTGTACCAAAGATGAATGGAGAGATTGTTTCATGGGAAGTGTATTGAGGAAAGGTCCCTTTAGCAACCAGCACCTGAATGTGAATGTGTTTTATGCAGATATGGTGAAAGGAGAGTTTATGTTCCTCTCCTCAAAACTGTCGAGATCATTCAAGTGTGCCATCCATCACCCAAACAGGTCACCGTTGGAGGTAATCGACAGATGGTCATAATTTTTTTTTTTCTATGTATGAAAGGAGAATGAAGAGAAATTGTTTCCTAAGAAAAATTATACTAAAAGGGTTAGGTCTCACTAACAAGAGTGCTTGAATCTGGATGCATTTTTATAAAGAGGGGGAGAAACAACAGATCTATCCAAAATTTCAACGCCTCTCCACAAACATGTTTAGATTCAGGTGTTAAATCAAACCCTCTTTGCCAATGGAACATCCCCCTTGAAGCCCTGGAAAATCCCCCCTCCAAAAAGGAAATGCGCTCATAGCTCATTTGAAATATTGTCACAATGTCGGACTAGCAAATTGACAACTTAATCCAGATACATGCAAGGGGTTAGGGCGTCTTAAAAACATAAAAACATGGGACCCTCGGACATAAAACTGGTGCAATTTTCAGTGTTAAATAAGTAAGTTCAATTATGTTCATAACTAGGCTACCAGAGTGGCCCGGGGTCACTTGCCCTGCCGGGCCAGAAAACATGAAAATACATATATATATCATCACAAACAGAACTGCCCGGTAAACCGTAGGCAGAGAGAGAGAAGAGGACAACAAACGAGGGGCTGTGACAAACTGTTTCGTCGGAGTTTCACCGACTCATCAGGAGGCTGAACCCTCAACAGTCTGCAGAATCCCCTCACTGATTACACTGTAAATGATAATCTACCTTAACCAAAATCAAAGTAGACTATCACTCACCCACACCAGATGGAAAACTCTACAGACTGTCGGTTCACACCCCATCACAAGCCAGCAAAACATCCACGAAACAAAGGTCTGTCACAGCCAAAAAATACACTCCAGACACGCTGCTATATATATATAGAGAGAGAGAGAGGGTTCAGCCTCCTGATGAGTCGGTGAAACTTCGACGAAACAGTTTGTCACAGCCCCTCGTTTGTTGTCCTCTTCTCCCTCTCTGCCTACGGTTTACCGGGCAGTTCTATTTGACGATATATATATATATATATATATATATATATATTTGTTAAAGAATTTTGAGGTCACCCTGAGGCAGAAGTTGTTCAGTTAGGAGCAGGAGGAGGAGGGAAAAAAAAAAAAAAAAAAAAGGAGCAGGAGGAGGAGGTGAGGTTGAGCAAAAGGGAGCCGAAGGAGAGGTACAACGGGGAGATGGAAGAGGACACGGAGTGACGGAGGAGGACAAGGAGGGTGCATGGGCAGGGAAGTAGGAGGAAGTGGGGTACTAAGTGGGGTGAGGAGCGAAGGGCTTGTGGGCAGGCACACAGGATGCTGCCGGATGCTTCTGCAGAGCCTGACCCTGAATGGAGTTCTAAGGGGCCAACCGTTGCTCGTCGCGTGACAGGGTCCTGCTGGAAATGGTGGCAGGCCAGGAGGGCATTCGCCGAAGATACCCGATGTTTGAGGGGCAGCAAACGAGATACGGCATCTTTGAGGGCATTTTGTACGTCTTTTTCTATGATCAGGTGACCGTAGAAGAGCCCTATTGTTTTTTTTTTTTTTTTTTTTTTTTTTTTCCCAATCTTTTCAGTCCATTTCTCGATTTATGCGTGTCATCCTTCCTTGCGCAGGGGCCATCATGATGATGTTCCCAAGGACAAAAGAGCCCTAGCCCTATGGTGAGTATGCCCTCATTGTTGATGCACTTTTACGGAGGTTCTGTCCCGATTCAGTGATTAAGCCGGTGGCTAATAAGCCCCACTTGGCCAGTTCTTCATTTCTACCGTCGGAAATTAAAAAAAAAAAAAAAAAAAAAAAAAAAAAAAAAAAAATCGGAACTTCGGGTAAGTGAGACTTGGGCCCAGATGTTCTATTCGGATTGAAGGCTAGGGGGGCAAGGTCCAACTTGCACGGATTAAGAGATTGTGGCCGTTGATCTTTGCTATCTTTGCTATCTACGGTCAATATCGCTTAATTCGTGTCGTGCAGTGGGACCTGGCCCCGGGGGAAGGCTACCACCGCAAGCCGGCTACGCAACGGATCTTTTTCTTTTTCTTTTTAATCGTGAAACTGGCCGGCCTTAGGGCCAGATCCCATCGGCAAGAGGATTGGAAGAAGTGTCTGAATCTAGACGTGTTCCGCGCAGAGGTGCAGAACACCAGATCAATCACAATTTTTCGCACCTGTCCACAAACACGCTTACTAGTCCTCTTTGCCACCGTTAGTCATTAAGGAATTTGATTCATCTGGTTCCAGGTGGAATCGAACTCAGGTCCGCGCTTCAATAGTTGACGGGTACACCAACTGACCGGAAAAAAAAAATAAAAAATTGAGCCCGTGGGTCTGTCTTACAGGGGCGAGGTCCCATTAGCAGTCGGATAGGAGTGTGGCCGATCCAGTGCGACACTGAGTGGCAGCGGCCCGACAGGTTCATTACGAATTTCTGGGCTGAGAAAACAGGAGAAACGCAAAAAAAAAAAAAAGAAACAGAGACCTCCCACCGAAAATCACGGCAGAGTGCTTCCCAGCCATCAGATCACAAATGATCTGATGGTGGTGGTTGCATCAGCAGTGAACAAAGTAACCGCCACATTTGCTGGAATAAACTTGACTTCTGTCCGCACTGATCCTGACACCCTCCATATACTCCGTGATTGAAGGACCGCTCCACCCAATGAGATAATTGCGCAACAGCAAGTAAAATACTGAAAATCTTCTATCAAGTGGGCTCAGGTCGATCCTCCTTTGGGGTTGGCCTTACCCCCAACCGATAGAAAAGATTCTGGCGGGAAGCTTTCTTTGCACGGGCATGCCCAGTGTTAAGGAGAGGAGGAGGGGAACGAAGATCTCCTAATTTTTTCGGGTAATACAAGTAGAACACTGACCGTGGGATCACGACTACTGCACGGCAGGATTGGGGTCACTCAACTGCCCCACAAACTCGTTTCTATCCTATCCCGCTGCTAGTGGGACCTCGCCCCAGATCTCTCTCAGCCCAAAAAAAAAAAAGAGAAAAAAAAAAAGAAACAAAAAGAAAGATCTCTCCCAGCCGAAATGCGGTTTCTCCACGTGTCTGCCGGGGGGACATCACCTTCGCGCCCGAGAAAAGGCTGGCAACGGACTCGAGGGCCGGGGTCCCACTAGCAACAGGGATTGGATTAAGCTCCTGAATCTGGACGCGTTTCAAGCAGAGATGCAGAAAAGCAGTTCAAGCTCGATATTCTGCACTTGTGCTCCAACCCGTCCAGATTCCGGCGTTCAATCCAATCCCCTTCGCTAGTGGGACCTCGGCCCAGAGAGTACCGAGTTTCTCCCCCCCCTCAAAAAAAACGAAAAAACGTACAGAGTTTGGATATAGTATATAGCAGAGCATAAAGAGTGGCTGTTTCACGGGGTGCAGAGTCGGCGGGCAACCACGGAGTCGGTGGGCAAGCACGAAGTCGGCGGGCATCCACGAGGGAGAGAGCTGCTGCTCTCAGTCTTTCACACGCTCACACCTTGTAGCAGTGTGCACGCCACTTGTAGAGACTTGCAAGAGAGAGAGAGAGAGAGAGAGAGAGAGAGAGAGAGAGAGAGAGAGAGAGAGAGAGAGAGAGAGAGAGAGAGAGAGAGAGAGAGAGGTAAGGAGGAAGATATCGTGGGTGGCGGGGTGTGGGGAGTGGGTGACGGCGGCCGCAGCTGCGTTTAGTACTAACAGGCGTGCTGGAGATCAGGCTGCTCAGCGCCATGGCTTCCTCTCGATCAGCTATGGATGCCTGTGTCCGGCGACCCGGTGTGATTGCAATGCTGGCAGTTTTTGTAACTCTGCTCTCACGAGCCGACTGCCAGGCCAACGCCAAGGTGTTGGGAGGCCACCAGGCCAACCTGCGCTACTACTCCCATCAAGTAGCGGTGATTGTGAAGAAGGGTGCTGATGAGGTGTCATGCGGTGGCTCGATTCTCAGCAATCTCTATGTCCTGACGGCGGCTCACTGTATGGCACTGGCCGGGTTCGGCCCGGGCGAGAGCGCTGTCCCAATCGACAGCCAGATCACGGTCAGGTACGGGAACGAGGATTGGCTGCTGGGATCGACTGCTGCGGTGGAGCGAGTGTGGGTGCATCAGGAGTACGACTCCACCGCTAATGGGACGTTGAAGAAGCATGACGTGGCGGTGTTACGAGTGAGCAGCCAGAATCCGATCGCCTACTCGAAGAGGGCGAGACCCATCAAGCTGGCTCCGAAGGACGACAAGCTGACACTTGGCGCCGACGTGACCATCGCGGGATGGGGATTGGGCAGCCCGAAGGCGTCGGGGGTGGCGACTCCCGCGCGCTCTCTCAAGGCCACGACTGTGAACACGATTCCGCAGATGTGCGGTCTGGATACCGTCTGGGGGAGCGATTTCGAGCCGTCGAGCATGCTGTGCGCCGGATGCGACACCGCCTTGGCCGATGCCTGCGACGGCGATGACGGCGGCGCGCTGACTACCACCTCCTCCTCCGGCGGCTGCGCCGTCGTCGTCGGCGTCGCCTCTGTGTCAGTCTGCGGCCAGAGCACCCTCAAGCCCTCTGTCTACACCCGTATTGCCCCCTACGTTGCATGGATCGAGTCCATTGTGGGTCACCCCGTCCGAAGCACGTACGAAATCAGTCCTCGGACCGACTGCGACAAATGTGTTAACCCCTCCAACCCCCCTCCATGTGGCAATGCCCCTTCCACCATCGACAAGTTCCGCTGCCACCTGGAAGGCGAGCTCGCGCAGTCCTTAACGCTGTCCTTCGGCGGCGGGACGCGATGTAACAACGGGAAGACGCATTTCAAGGCGGAGTTCACGGGTGCAAAGCTGCCAGCCGTGGCCAACCTGACCAGAGGAGTGGTGTACCTCTTCTCGGCGACAAACACCGGGACGGAAGTGCTGTACATGCACGGCAAGACTATCAACACGCCGCTCAGTGCTCCCATTACGAGATTGGGCATGGCCAGGTACAGCCCCAAGGCCAAAGGATGGGTGTTTGAGATCGACGGCTGTTCTACCACAGGAACCACGTACGCAGCTTTATACAGATCGAGAGGTAGCTACGGACACTTCCAAATCTCTCTTCCTATCAATTAGTCACGTGTGTACTCTGTGATTAACCGCCACGTGTCTTAAACGGACTGGGTAGGTATCAAAACCAGATCAGCTCGTCTATAGACACAATGCTGGCGGTCTTGTCGGTCTTGATCTGACGTCCCTATGAATCATAGCACATACCTACACTGTTTGATGTAATCGGACTTTCTGGCGATATATATAGTATTGGGCGGGACGTTTTTCTCGTATACTTGCTGGGTGATGGGCAAAAGCTTCAAGCTTTGTATTTGGTCATTTTGTGTGAGGTGTGGAAAGGAAGTCGGGATCCGAGTTGGCAAAGATAGCTTCGACTTTTCGACGTCCTCCAGCGATTGTAACACAGTGTAATCGTTCCGTACCGTAAGGACATCTTCAAACGTACACAACCTCAGCGATTCTTCTTCGATAGTTCTACGTAGCTTCCTTCGCTGAACGTCGGCAATATGCTCTCTTAGCTTGCCTCAGCTGTAGTACTACGTCGTCGGTGCATATCTTCTTAGCGGCGTTAGCGATCCTTTCACGACCTAGAGTACTTGGGGAATTTAGTATATGTATGGAGTCATTGTACGTGTGTTCTTGGGTAGAACGTAGTCGAGCACACGTACACAACATCAGGTTCTGTGATGGATGTTGCACGTAGCAGCCATCGTTGGACGTAAGGGCAATGGCTTCCGTGAAGTCGGCTAGTTTACAGTGTACAGGTAGCAAGCAGCCATGCGGATGAATGTGAGCTTCCTCTGAAGCATGGTTTTCTAACCCGGAATCTTGCTCCTCGATTATGGCCTTTGGTCGTAGGTCGCCGCTAGCTGTACTTGGCTATGTGGTGGACGTAAGCTGGCTGATTGTGAGTGTTTTTCGCTGTACGTTTGCAGCTGCAGCTGCAGCTCTTGCGCAGTGCACTTTCGCAAGAAAGAAAACCACAGTAGCTATGGACACAGTCTCCCGTGTTCTCGGAATACGGCGTCGCCACGTGGCATGTGCGTTACTTCCACTTGTTTCTCTCGTCGTCGTAGCCTGCGCTTTCTTCGCCTCTTCCTCGCTCCCTCTCTCACTCTTATATGGTTCGTTCCCTGTAGTTCTCCGTAGTGCTGAAGTCCCTTCTGGAGTCGACAATGCCGACGTTGCTTCGACCGTACTCGTCTAAGATTAAGATTACTATGTGATATAAGAAGGGACGAACTTCGTTCGTTACCGAGAGAGAGAGAGAGAGAGAGAGAGAGAGAGAGAGAGAGAGAGAGAGAGAGAGAGAGAGANGAGAGAGAGAGAGAGAGAGAGAGAGAGAGAGAGAGAGAGAGAGAGAGAGGAGGGACAGGCAGTCGGGGACCACTCTGACCACGTGGAATCGATCTACGGAGCGCTGTACGGTCTTGCCGCGCGGGAAGGCTCTCCGGTCTTTTGACTCTTTTCACGTGGGGGCCGCTCTTTGCACGTGGGAGCACTGAGTCCATGTGGACATCTGTTCACGAGAAACGCAGCGAAATCGTACAGCATGAGCGTCTATTTGCCGACTATATTTTGTGGGCCCTCTTTTATGATAGATTCTGCCGGCGGCAGGTACGTGGAACAGCAATTACAGGGGGAGTGTTTTTTGTCTGTAGCTTTGTGAGGTTGAGCTCGACCTTCAGGCGCACACTGCGGCTTTTGTGTCGTGGCACGGTCCGTTTTGCGTTGCATGGGGGAAGAACCTGGTCTCATTCTTCTACTAGAGTTATGCTCCAAGCCATACATTCTCGTCGAAAAAGAAAGGAAAAAGACAATCTATTTTTTCTCTGATAAAAAGATGCCTATTGTGTGGTTCTTTTTCTCTTTTTCGGGCAAAAGAAAGCATTCCATTACAAAGCAGAAGAGGCCGGGAATGCTCACAAACATCCCGCCGGGTAAAGATGCGCATTTTGAGGTCGGCTACGAAGGTTTGTTTATGTATCTTGCTACACTTCACAACACACTACATGAATTTGGATGCTTTAGAGACCAGGAACACTCAAAATGTTGGACTCGTCGGGATGCACCTGGTCCTGAAAGCGTCCACGTGCATGTAGAGTGATGTGTAGTGGAGCCAGGCCGTATGTCAGTTGATGTGAATGCAAGAAACGTCTGTTAAGAGTTTCATTTATGTGGGAACGGATGTTGAGAAGCCGTGCCGGTCTCCTTTTTTTTTCTTTTTTTTTTTTTCTTTTTTTTTTTTTCTTTTTTTTTCTTTTTCTTTTTTTTTTTGGGGGGGTGGGGGCGGGGTAAGAATCTCGTCGTGCCCAAAAAAAAAACAAACAGAATCTCGATCGTCGCCCGAAATGCCGATCAATAACCGCAAGCCGCGGCTGCCGCTTAAATGTTCCAGTGACCGCAGATTGACACATACGGAGCTTAAAACTGCTTATTGCTATATATCCAATTCGACAACGAGTGCCTTGTGACTTCAACCGACCGCCGCGGATATAGGTAAAACACTTCGTCTATCAAAGAAAAAAAAAAGGAAAAAAGAACACTTCGTCTACAGTGCAAAGACACTCATTCTCAGTTGCTTGTTACATTGAAAATGAAAAGAACTTAAAAAAAAAGAAAAAAAAAAAAAAGAAAAGAAAAGAACGAACATTATAGCGCCATGAAGAAGACGAATCATCCGTTAAAATTGGAACGATACAGAGAAGATTAGATAAAAAAAAAAAAAAAAGAAAGAATCCTAACGACTAACCGCCATCCAGTCTCTCATGCCCGGACGTTGTCGCACATTTTGCCGCACAAAATTGCGAAGCCCAAAAAAATAAACCTCCGAGAGCGTCCATGGTAGTGGGTCAGATCCCTCTAGCCCCTATTGTTCATTTCTGACCGTTGATCTGACCGTTGATCTTCGTAATCGAGGGTGAAAATTGAATAATCCAGGGTAGTGGGATCTGACCCTAATAGCAATGGGTCAGATCCCGCTAGCCCCTATTGTTCATTTCTGACAGTTGATCTGACCGCTGATCTTTGTGATCGAGTGTGGAAAATGAATAATCCAGGGAAGTGGGATCTGACCCTAATAGCAAATACACTCAGACCGCGGGATTTCCATCATCATCGTCTAACTAAGACACTGAGGAGCGGAGAGTAAAATAGCAAATACACTCAGACCCACGGGATCTCCATCATCATCGTCCAACTAATACATCGAGCTTCGGAGAGGTCCGAGAGGAGGACCATCCACCCCCAGTACCCCCGCTTGGAGGGGATGCTCTTATTATCAGGTCATCACCTCTCTCTTTTTTTTTAATTATTATTTTTTTAATTTATTTTATCACCTCTCTCTAAGTGCGGACCCCGGGCCGTGATTTTATTTTATTTTATTTTTTAAGACGAGAAGCCGTCTGTTGCTTTTCCCCGGTTCCCCGTCCTGGCCGTGCTCTCGCAAACACGTAGGGCCTCTCACCACGGCTCTTCAAATGTGGAAAATGAGAAGGAATCCTCCCGTAGAACATCGAAGGATGCATCGACAAACCCTTTTTTTTTTTTTTTTTTGTTTTGGTTGGGTACATCCTTGTGCAGGGGCCATGCTTGTATCATTTCAATTTTAACGGATGTCCCAAAGGACTCGCCGTACTTTTTTGTCTTTTCTGCATGTGAGAGTAATGGAGCGACTCCCATAGCTTTAGGGCCTAGTTGTCGAACCGGAGGCCTGGTTGCACTTACTCTCCACAATATAATTTCTAGAGAAAAGTTCAATAATTTTGTCTGCCTGATCTGGACTCGTGAAGAGGTGCACTCTCCAGAAAGCTGTTTTGTGGAGAGGTCGGAGGCCCACCCTCTCTCTCTCTCTCTCTCTCTCTCTCTCTCTCTCTCTCTCTCTCTCTCTCTCTCTGAGTGTGTGTGTGTGTGTGCGCTTGTGTGTGTGTGTGTGTGTGTGTGTGTGTGTGTGTGTGTGTGTGTGTGTGTGTGTGTTTGTGTGTGTGTGGGTGGGCATTGCACACCTGGAAAATGATTGTATACAAGCCTTCTTCCCCGTCAGGTACAGGCAAATGAGGACGCGCCATGTTTGGGGGATGACGGCAGTGAAGGACTCTGGCCACCCTGCGGGACGAATTGGCGGCACCAGGCCTTACGGTCGAAGAAAAGGAAAGGGGCCCCGGGACACAGAGAAGATAAGATTAGCATGGCCTCTCTCTCTCTCTCTCTCTCTCTCTCTCTCTCTCTCTCTCTCTCTCTCTCTCTCTCTCTCTCTCT